AATTTATGGTTTCAATATTTTGGCCCAGAAATCCAAGCTTTTTTTGCATTTTCTTAAATCAGTGTAACATTTCACAGATCTGCCTTATTCTTCTGAAATTTTCGCCTTCAATGAGGAGTGATGAAAATACCGCATGTTTATATGGTTGTCTGTGGTGAGAGCATTACTGTCTGTCTGTTCAGCCAGGTTCACAACCTCAGTCATTCTGAGCTTTGTTTTCTTTCATTCCTCCCTCTCTCCCCTCCTCCCATCCATTCATTTATCTTATCATTTGTACTTGCCAAAATAATTCACATGTCTCCTCTCCACAACTACCCTACTGCAGGCCCTTATCACCTATTAGTTATTATTCTAATAACTTCTTAATTGGTCTTTCTACTTCAAATCTCCCTGTGACCAAAACTGTGCTCTCCAGAGTTGTCAAAGTGGTAATCCTAAAATATCCATCTCATTATGTTACTTCCCAGCTTTATAAATTTTAGTGGCTTTCTCTTGCCTCTAAGGTTAAGGGATTAAGTACAAATCTCTTTCTTTTCCAGGTTTATTGCAAATTATTTTACTTAATGAGTCCTTATGTTCTAAACAAACTTGGCCTACTTATTGTAGCCTGTTAAGTGTTCTTACATCTCCCGTTTCTGTGTTTCTGTTAGATTCTTTAACGACTCAGCTAACGTACTATTTACTAGATGAAGGCTGTTCTGATTTGTGCTTGTTGTCAGTGCTCTCTCTTGTAAAAATTGTTTGGTTTAAGAGCAGCTAGATGGTACAATGGATAGAGCACCAGCCCGGAAGTCAGGAGGACCTGAATTCAAATGTGACCTCAGACCAAACGTTTGATACTTACTAGCTGTGTGACCCTGGGCAATTAAGCCCAGTTGCCTAAAAAAAAATTTATTTGGTTTATACCCTGTATTTATGTTTATTATAGAGGCCCATCAATGAAATGTAAAACTTTGGAGGGCAGGAAGTGTTTAATTCTTGTCTTTGTATTCCTGGTGCCAGTCACATAATGGTGCTTCATAAATGTTTATTAAATAAATGAGTGAATTCCCAGGTTATAATCTCTAGCTGGTAGCACCAATCGGTCACCATATAAATTGCCACGAGAGGGTAGTGGTCGTCAGGTCTGAGAAATTTTGGCAGGAGCTGGACATTTCATGGATCTATTCCTTACGATGATGGCATGACACCTCATTGTTGATGTCAGACCAATATTTGGTCATCTCCGTCCCTCTCAGTAGCAGCCAGTCAGTGGCAGGTTGTTCAGTGGTATTTGAGGTGGTGGTTTTATTCTCCCATCTCAACAATTTCTTTTCTCAATGAATTGATTTTGTCCATTGTAAAGACTTTAACATTTTATGTAATATAACTTTTCTAATTTGTCTCCAGTGATTACCTCTATCCCTTATTGTTAATAATTCTCCCACTAGCCATAATTTTGAAAGTTACTTATTTTCTCCACTAATATTTTTTTAATCAGGTCAGGTATCCATTTGAAATTTCTTATGGTAAATGGAAGGTTTTTGCAAACCTAATTTCTGCCCGGCTGCTTTCCACTTTACCCAGGAGTCCTCAAATAGGGAGTCCTTGCCTCAGTAACTTAAGTTCTTTGGTAAGTCAGTTGGGGTTAAGTGACTTGCCCAGAGTCACACAGCTAGTAAGTGTTATGTGTCTGAGACTGGATTTGAACTCAGGTCATCCTGACTCCAGGGCCAGTGCTTTATCCACTGCTACCTAGCTGCCCCTGTTTGTTTATTTTAATGTTGTTCCTGGTGCTCCCTTACCAAGCCTAGTTCACTTTTAATGCTTTCTTACTCTTATCTTATTTTGTCCTGTTTAGTTATCATTTTGATATTTGATACACACTAAATCTGTAAATTAGTTTATATAGTATTTTTATTATATCATGTACCATAGATTTTTGAGTTAGGATATAGAAGTTTGAGATTGAGAGAAACAAAGATTAATTATTTTATCGTATGTTGGAAGGTGATTTACCTAATCTTAATTCCATTTTGTAAATAAGGAAACTGAGAATGACTAGGTAGTAATAAGACCTCTTGACTCCCAATCTTATGCTATACTAATTTCATATTTATGATAGCATTAATGTAGCCTGAGATATATTTTTTCTTTTTTAAGGAAATAGAAGACTATTTTAGCAGCAGGAGTGATTTTACATATTAGTAGATTACAGTTATATTAGATTTTTCTATGTACTCCATGTACTCTTTATCTTTTATTTTAACTACTCCTTTATTAAAAGGATATGTGGTCAAGGCTTGTACATATGGAAAGCTACTAATATCTGCTCCCTCAAATTATTTCCTAACAATTTCACTTTAACAAATAGTACCAATGTTGTTTGTTGAGTTACATCTGATTTTTATAGGCCGAATTCTAAATTTAGACGCAAAGCACCATTTTAAGGAGAGCTGCCCTTTTCACATCTTTCTTGGAGCAGGAAAAGATCATTATATGATTATTTCAGCTTTCCATGCTTTCTTTACAGTCTTATTCCCTTCCACATACTGGCCTTCTTGCTTTTCCTTGAAGGAAACAACAACAGCAACAAAAAAAACACAATAAAACGGCTTTATGTCCAGACTTTAGGCATTTTCACTGGCTGTCTACCATGTCGAGAATTCTCTCTCATCTCTATCACCTTTAAGACTCAGCTAAAATCCCATCTTCTACAAAAAAAGTCTTTCCCAGTCTCCCTTCATGCTAGTACCTTCTCTCTGTTGATTATTTCCAATTCACCATGTATATATTGTGTTTTACATATCTATTTGCGTATTGTCTCCCCCAGTAGACTGTGAGCTCCTTGAGTGTAGGGGCTGTGCTAAACACCACAAAATCACTAAATAAACACTTGCTGACTGTTATTTTGATATAACTGAATCTTGTCATTCCTCTCCCCAGTATTTTTTTAGATTATTAATACTAACATGGAGGTATGTATGCTTTAATATTGGCAGGAGGGTGTTAGCATTTACCATTTTATTTGACCAGTGCCTTTCATGTTGACTTTATGTTGTGGTAGTGGTTGTGTGTAGTATTCTTCTGACTTGCTTTTTTTCTTTCTGGACTACTTGGTATGTCTTCCCATATCTCTTTGAATTCGTATTCATCATTCTTTATGCTGTAGTGATATTTCATTTATCATCCCTCAAACCCATCTTTTATAACAAAAATCTTGTGTACATTTTTGTATATGTGGATCTTACCTTGCTTCTCATGAACTTCTTTTGGATATACTATAGTACAAGAAATGGAATCTCTGGGTTAAAGGAGATGAAAAATTTAGTAACTTTTAATTTCACTTACTCCCCAGAACTGTTTTTCACAGAAATGTATGTCGCATTTTCTTGGAAGTTTTTGGGGTTTTTTTCGCATCTATTGACTTTTGTTACTAATAGGAATTATGCCACCATCTATCTGATGTTGGATTCTTGGTGTCAGTTCAGTTCAGTAATAGCAAATAGTTTAATTTTTATTCCTATGGTTTCTTTGCCAATGTTTTCCTTATTTTTGAATTATTATTTATTAGTCATATTGGTTTATAGCTCTTTCTCTGCTTACATACATAAGATATTTCCTTTAGCATCAGGACTTCATAGTAAGAGTTTGGCAGAGTCTCTTATTTCTCTGTATTGAAAACAGGAAAAGAGGTGAAAGCATGATTTCAGGTGAATAACAAAGTTTAAAACAAACCAAGGGGCAGCTAGGTGGTGCAGCAGATAGAGCACTGGCCCTGAAGAAAGGAGGACCTGAGTTCAAATTTGGCCTCAGGCCCATAACATTTACTAGCTGTGTGACCCTGGGCAAGTCACTTAACCTTTGGCTAGCCCAAAAAAACCAAATAAACCAAGAAGCTGTACTATGCTTATGTGTTCCATAGATGAGTGTCAGTATGAGACATACAAACATTAGTAGGTATAGTGAGTATGCAGGGAAGTGGGAGAACAACCATCTATATAGCACTATGTACCATGCGCTCTGTGCTAAGGTCTTTACAAGTAGGATCTTATTTGATCCTCATAACAACCCTGGGAAGTAGGTACTGTTATATTCTCATTTTCCAGTTAGGGAAACTGAGGCAAACAAAAGTCAAGTGACTTGCCTGAGATCACACAGCTAGTAAGTGTCTGAGGACAGATTTGAACTCAGGTCTTCCTAACTCCAGGCCCAGCACTCCATCCACTGAACCACCTAGCTAACCGCCTGTAAATGGGCTTATAGGAAAGGTAAATGGAACACCAAAAGACCTAAGTAGATGTAGGTATTTCCTCTAGTAATTCAGAAGGCAACTTATCCATGCTTGCCCATGAACTCTTGTTCAGGTTTTCTTATCATTTTGACATAGGCTATTTCCCCAGTGGTTTGGATTCTGTCTTTGAGTTATTCTGACATTGCAGGGATACCATTGGAGCACACAGGATGACCATTAGGTATCCTTTGCTCAGGCATAATTGTAGGAGACTTTAATAGTCCCCTTTCTGGACTTAAATATGATAGGTAAGCAGCAAGGAAATTATGGGTTTGAATGTAATACTGGGAAAATCTGTATTTGATAGATACATAAAGAGGATTATCATTTTAAATGATTGATTAATTAATTGATCATCCCCAAAATGAGGATATCCTTTATCTAGGGACTTTCATGAAAGTTTATTTCTGAGTAGAATTTAAGAATTCATGAAATAACAATAGATATAGAATAAAATACAAATGAAAAAAACTATCTCCCATTCAGCTATAAATATCATTCTGTTATCTTTGGATAGCTCCATAAATAAGTAAAACACCAAATCACTAGAACAATACAAAATTAAAGAGGTAATGTTACAGTGTGACAAAATTTAAAAGTAGATAAGACAAGTGAATACTCTCAAACTTTAAAAAAACTTATTACATAGACTAAATTCTAAAATTAACTGCTTTGTACTACTATCTTGTAATCATCTTATTTTTTTTTAAACTTCTCTTCCTGATAGGTATAAACAGTTTTGTTGAAATCATTCTTGGTAATCATGGCAGAAGGTGGATTTGATCCCTGTGAATGTGTTTGCTCTCATGAACATGCAATGAGACGACTGATCAATCTGGTAAGATTAACGGGAAATTTTTACCCTGCATTGCCTATTCTGTTTTGGTTTGATGTATAATTTTCAATTTTTGGCTATGGGAGAATGTTATATACTTAAATTGGAATGTTGCCTTCACTAAAAGCCATGATGTGTATTTTGTGATCACTAGATTTATTAATAACTAAATGTCAATTCATTTTCTGATATAGCTAGCTAAAATGTTGTGCATTCATTCAATCAGAGGTTAATAAGGTAGAGGCTTCTATTACATAGCATACACAAGTTACTAGTCTGTGCCATTTCATTCAGATAACCTCCACCAAACTAAAGCTCATTTGTACTCTTAGTTGTTGTCAAATTATTGTCTAATTTTAATATGTACTACAGCAACCTTTATATAACAGATTTCCAAGCCTGAGCTTGTGACCTTCTTAACTTTGCATGCAGTATATATTTGTTACAGCAAAATTAAAGTACAAAAAAAATTTGAAGAATCATGGTGCATTTGTTATAATGGAATACATCCTGATATTTGCAGCTTATCAACTCAGTTATAAAACTAGCATGAGTAGGATTATTTAAGTCTGTCAAGAATTTGCGCTCTCTACTGTACTTATAATTTGATAATAATTTAAATTTAACTTAAAGTATGTAAAAAGATGCCTTTTTTTGTTTGCAGTATTCTTGTGGAGCTAGATAAAGGTGTCTAAATGCTTGTTGGTTTAGTTAAGGAACAAATGTTCTAATCCAGTGCTACCATGTACTTATTTCAAGTATGCTTCTTTTAAATGGCTCTTCTTGGGGGATTAGTCTATACTGTACATAATAATTAGCTTTTAAAAGGGTGCCTTCTAGCACAAAGATTAAATTAGGGATCAGAGAATTTCAAAAGAGACACAAAGGAAATGGGTATGCAGGTGGAATGGGAGCACTGTAATGGTGCTCTTTAAATGCAGGTGAACTAAAAAATGCCATTTGTGAAGTTGTCAATCATTTTTCATGTCTAGATCCATTTTTCCATAGGGATAAATTTTTTTAAAATTTATTTTATTTATTTTTTTGTGAGGTAATTGGGGTTAAGTGACTTGCACTGAGTCACACAACTAGTAAATGTTATGTTTCTGAGGCCGGATTTGAACTCAGGTCCTTCTGACTCCAGGGCTGGTACTCTACCTACCACTGTGCCCCAGATAAATTTTACTTTGAAATTACAAGAATCTAGTTTATGATTTAACTATTTCAAATTTTCCTAAAAGAATAACTTTCTTATATGAGTTGATTTTTTTCATAATTTTCCTCTTTTTTTTTCATGATATTATAAATGTTCCTTTTGATCTGAATTCTTTGTAATACTGTTTTTCTTATTTTAAAAAAAAAGTGCTGACAGAATTGGCATCCAAAAGTGTTTTGACAAGCTGAAGTATTGAGTTGGGTCTCATAAAATGAAATTCAGTAGGGAGAAGTGTAAAGTGTTACTCTGTAGTATTGTGTTCAGTTCTGGGTGTCTTATTTTAAGGAAAGCATTGATAAACTGGATTGGAACAAGGACAATGAAATTCCTTGAGTTCCTATTTTATCCTATCAGTTGGTGACCCTGTGTATTTAGCTTGGAGAAGATTCAGAGGGCTATAATTGTCTTACGCATTTGAAAGGGCTGTCTCATGGAGAAAGGATTAAACTTGTTTTGTTTGGCCCCAAAAGGCAGAACAGGAAGTAATAGGTAGGAGTAGCTAGGAGGTCAATTTAGATTAGATTGATAGAAAATACTTCCTAACAGTTAGAGCTGCCCAAAAGTTCAATGAACTTTCTAGAGAGGTGGTGAGTTGGAGATTTTCAAACAAAGATTGGTTTTTATTCACTCAGGTACATATTATAATAGATAATCATTTCAGATATGGTTTGATCTAAATTAAATGGTAAACAGCTAGATTGTTCAGTGGATAGAGCACTGGACCTGGAGTCAGGAAAATCTGCATTCAAATGTGGCCTCAGACACTTGCTAGCTTTGTGACACAGGGGGGTGAGTCATTTAACCTTTGTTTACCTTAGTCCATTGGAGAAGAAACTGGCCAACCACTTCAGAATCTTTGCCAAGAAAACCCCACGGATAGTATTGATGTGCTGTGGTACATGGGGTCACAAAGAGTTGTACGTGACTGAACAACAATAATGAAATTAAATGGTTACAGAGGTTCCTTCCCACTTAATTATATGATTTCTATGATTATGCATATAAGTCATAGCTAGAATACGTATGAGAGGGTAGCATTTCCTTTTCCTACAACTGACATGGCAAAAATAAATTATTTTCAATATCAAATGGAATACACTGAAAATATTGAGGGCCTCATAAAAATTAAATACACTGAGCAAATGAGGGTCCCAGAAAAAATAAAAGTATCTTCATTACTGGCTGAGTTGGAGCAAGAATTCCAGAGGAGTCCACATATAGTATAACAATGCAGGTTACAGACTAGATTGTTATAGCAGGTAGTAGTGAACACATTTCATTTTCAAGATTAGCAGATCTTTACACTTTATCTGATTAACAGTCTTAAAACCCATGTTATTGAAAACATCTCCCTATATTCTTATCCTTAGTAAGAGAACACTTGACTTTCTGAACTTAGAAAAAGCTATCCCTCTAACTTCTCAAAATAAAGATGAAAAATCACATTTAGAGGAAGAACGTTGCCATCAGCACATCAGTGCCGCTAGCAGACTAAGAATTAGAACTTTGTGGATGAAAACTGTCAAAATAATTAATTGGGGGCAGCTAGGTGGCGCAGTGGATAGGGCACTGGCCCTGGATTCAGGAGGACTTGAGTTCAAATCCAGCCTCAGACACATAACACTTAACTAGCTGTGTGACCCTGGGCAAGTCACTTAACCCCATTGCCAAGCCAAAACAAAAAAAAAATGATTAATTGGTCAGACATGATTCTGTGTAGCATTGACCAGCTTCTGCCCTAAGATATTCCAAGGTTGCAGTCACTGCTTTTGGCCCCAGAATATTCTATGGCACCATCACAACAGACCTGTATATTTCCTCTCTATGTGTTTTACCTGAAGATAGAATCTAATCTCTGCTCCTGCCATTTTGTTTATGTGGTTTTCTCCTACTAGATCTTGGGTGCACTGGATGATTGTTGCTGGTAGGTTTGTTGCTGCAGCTTCTAATGTTCATCATCACTTTATATACATACATGTGAACACGCATACGTGTGTGTGTGTGTGTGTGTGTGTGTGTGTGGAGAGAGCTGGCGTGTTTGTTCATAATCAGTGAAAATAATGTGATTGTTGTAGATAGCTGATGTCTGAAAAATCAAACATTATCGGTGTCAATAACTTCTTGAAGAAGAGGACAAGGATACTAAAAAGAGAAGTGGTCTTATAGCTTTCTGGGTGCTTAATAATTGGCTTTGGTTTTGCTGCCAGAGGTAATATCAGCTCTCACACACTTGTTATAAGAGCTAGATGCGTAAAGAATTTTTGGGACCCTCCCCCCCAAAAAAAGAATGTTGGCAGGGGCCGCCTTTGTACAACCTGGCCCTAGTGACCTGAGAAAATGATGAAAGCTGGGAAGACAAGTGGAAATATATGTTCTTAGCCTCAGCCTTAAAAAGACTCAACAATATGTCTTATCTGTGTGAGGGGCCTACACCTTGAAGCAGAGAATAGGTGAATGAAATTCAGTCATCCTAAGTCAGCAAATAATACTAATATTAAAAATAATAATAGCAGTAGCATTTATATAGCATTTTTAAGGTTTGCAAAGTGCTTTACATGTGTTATCTCTTTTGATCTTTACAACAACCCTGTAAGGTAAGTACTATTATTATTTCCATTTTATAGATGAGGAAACTTAGGCCAAAAGAGATTAAGTAACTTCCTCCAGTAAGTGTCAGAGGCTGGGCATATCTTTCCTCCATGCTTGGCTAAGTCTGGGGCGATTCTACGGGCCACTGAGTAATGTACAGACCACCTGAGCAAGGTGCTTCCTTATCTGTCTGTGGGTTTGAGTGTGTGCTTGTTCTGCGTGCTAATTTTATTAGCTTGGTACTGGCAAGGCAACTGAAGACATTTATATCAGAACAAGAATAACTAAACCTTGGTTTTCCCAAGGGACACCCTGGCTTGGGACATGGGCCAAATGAGGTGCGTTTACCAAAGAATATAATAGAAACACGAGTCTAAGGGGCTAGTAGTGTTGACTCTTGCCCAGGCAACGTTCACAAAGCATTTGACTATTCCTGATCTGAATAAGAGAAGGAACTTAGATGATAGTATATTTAGGTGCACATAAAACTAGTTAAATTGCTAGACCCCAAAGAGTAGTCAGTCAATCATTAATGATTCAGTGTCGTTTTTGGATGTCAGTCTCTCGTCAGGTGATATTAGGATCTCAAATGGGATGTCCCATACACATCTCAAATTCAGCATGACCGAAACAAGAGTTACTGTCTCCTTTCCTCCCCCACCATACACGTTATTACATCTGTCCTTCCAACAGCCACGTGAGGTAGGTATGAAAAGCTTTAAAATCCAAGTAATGGACTTTATATTTGATCTTGGAGATAATAGAGAGACACTAGAGTTAATTGGTTGGTATAGGAAATTCCCTCTACCAGTGTGGATCATCAGCCTCTGTTCTACAGTGTAGTTGGCGAATGTGGAAGTGGAACATTTTGGTGCAATGACAAAATCAAGAGTAGGACGATGTGTGTATGTAGTGGAGTCTTGGGAATTGAGCAGATTGAGGAACTGAGAAGTTAGAGTATTGGTGGGAGCAGGATAGGCATGTCGAATCCTCGCAAATGATAGCACAATAATGGGGAGGAGACAGACTGAACCAAGGCACTGAACTCATTGACAGCTGCCAGTGTCTGGGGTAGATGTTAAATTTTGATAGTGTGAACCTCAAAAGAGGAGAGGTTACTTAGTGAATGTAGGAGAGGGACAGTCTGCAAGGGGCCAGTGGGGATAGGGAATACTCCAGTTTCCCTTCCTGACAGCAA